GCAGCCTAGCTTTTGTGGTTTCCGAGTTGAAAGTGCGGGACAAAATGTGGGACACACACACACACAACTCCATGACAATATGTGTTTTGTACTGCTGTTACACAGCACAAAAGGCATAAAAAACTAGCAACACACTCACCACAAAGCTCGCTATTTGAAATAAGTGGCATCACTTCCAACATTTGACGAACAGGTTCTGAACGTGCTAAGCCATTCAGCGCCTCGCATGCGTACGCACGCAATAAATCCGCTTCTGTAGGCGGGGTTTCCGTATACAACAGTTTTTTCAAAACCTAAAATACATGTAATGCAAACTGCTCAAAAACAAGGAAAAATACAAGTGGAAATAGTTAGCTAAATGGCTAGATTTACTACATTTTAGTCGAGATCTTCATTTACCACCCGCAGTAGTGCAAACAGGATTTCGTAAAGGAATCACGGAGACTGCACAGACTGTTTCAGTGAAGTTCTAATACTACCAATGGGCCCAAAGAATCACAGCCACGCCAAGACTCTTCGTCCTATGCTCTAGTCCGTCGTTTGTACCTGTCATGTCTACAACGTTTTTATGCCATCTTCTCACTGCAAGGCTAAAACTAATATACAAGCAGTTCAGTGTAAGCATGAATGAACTTTCAGCATTGAGCAGCTTATCTAACTAACCAACACCATTTGGTCAGAACTGTGCAGAGAGGACGTCAAAAATTTCTTTTGAACTTGCTCGTTCGAATTTCGCAATGTGGCCACTACATTACCGCCAACTGCTTGACCACACATACTTTTATCCGACCACCAGAGTGACAAAAGTTTTTCTTTTTGTATACTTCAGCTTTACATATATTTTTTGTATTACTTCAAATCTATATATGTAAATGGAGCGAGCTTCGTCTGGATGCATTATTGTTTTAGTAGCGGAACATGTTAAATAATTACCAGGATTCCATTATTTTTTCGAATTACATCCCATGCCTTTTCGAGACCAGAATCAACCGTTTCCTTTCGCTGCTTTCGTGGTTTAGTTAATGTTCCGAGACCTCCACGGCAGCTCACTCGAGACTCCGAACTGCTTTGCGAAACTACTATTGAGCTCATTTCACTCGCTGGAGGTGACGATATGCTGCGTCCATTACGCTGAAACCGATGAACAGATTGAACAGAGAGGTTTCTTCATGCAAAAGTATGACAATAAAAGACAATATGATCTTAAAGAACATACTCCTCGCTCCAGTGGACCACATACACAACCAATAACTACTTGCAGGGCAGCAAACAAAATCTCCGTATCCACCGTTGTTTCAATATCGCAAATATTCAGAATCATTCTGTAAAAAGTAGAGGCA